AACATACATAGGCTCTTTCCCTAATATACTTTTTGCGCTATTTCGTAAAGTATGTGTTCTGTAATGCTCTGTAATTGTTGTCAGGGAGAAGGCAGATAAAAGCTTAGTTCAAGTTCATTGGGGTCGCAGGACGGTGAGCTATACACTCCAACAGCCTTCGTTCCGCGGCAATTTTCCTTCGGTTTCCAGTGAGAACATTTCACAAATTCTCTTAGGAGATTTCACTAAGTTATGAGGCGAATTATTAAAACACCATGTGTTCTGATTTTTTACTCTTAATAAGTAATTAGAATAAAACAAATATGCATAAATTAACTTTAATTGTATACAGGGAGGCATTACTTTTGGACATAAAGGGGTATGAGAGAACTCTAATTTTGTGTATAAGGTTAAGTAAGTACGTGATGAGGTTAAGCAAGCAGAAAATATATAGAACAATCGAGTTTAATGACAATTCATATTTGAAAGAATTATATCCTTAGAGTAATGTAAGAAATCCTAGGTGAAATAAAAAAAGAAGTTGGAAGTCAATAATCTAGAAGACACTAGGGAAGATTAATTGTAATACACGAGCTATAGTATATAACGACAACAGTATTATATAAAGAATAAGTGTATATGAGAAATTTCGCAAAAATTTGTCAAAAATTTAGCAACCATATTAACAATATATTGATCAGATACGAACGTGTACACAAAAGCCTAATGGATAGTTGAGGCCTTCACATCGCATATACCAATTGAAATAAACTGAATAAATAAATAGGTAAATAAAACGACCAAATTGTCTAAGATGGAATAGCCAGTTTAGGACAAAATATAAGAGAAATAAATCTATAAAAAATAAAGATGAAGAGAATAGCAGACATAAGCCTGTCTATAATTAACTTAGAATGCAAGCCGATAGCATAATGTGTATCTTGGCGCACCATAAATCGATTTACACATGTTAATTTTTGCGTGAAAATGAAAATAAATTATTCTGAAATACTATTCAGGGTCAAATAAATAAATATTTAATAGTATTAGTAAAGGCAACAATGAATACGAGAGAATTTTCAAAAGACACTACCTGGCCGCCGAGACGAGTAGATTTTTGGAAACGAATTGAAGCTTTTTCAGCTAGATCTCGAACAAAAAGACTACCATCACCGCATGGAACAACAACCTTGGTATCACCAAAGCAAACAGTGACTTTCATGATTCTAGTCGAATGTATGACATTAAAGATTTCTGTTTTATTCTACATAAAGATGCAGAATTGTATATCCATGAAAATAAATCCCCTCTACAAAGGGATTTCTTTTTATATTATAAACATGGAATTGAAACATTAAAAATAATATTTTTAAAATAATCCATAAGCGGAGCGACGCCCTCGAGGAGCATCGTGTAATAACCATAACATATTGACTTCGAATTATCGCGCAGTTAAAATCACATAATCCACACTGATGGGCAACACCCGCCAGAGCTTCAAGGTAATTTATGGTAATGAAAGTTATCACCTCAAACGATTTAACGTAATCAAATTTTATTTAAAAATAAATAATAAAATTTATTTATTTAGATAAATTATACATATAAAAAAGGATAGCTATCATATAGATAGATTATATAAAACATTTAATAAAGAAACGAAGCACCTAGTATATTTTCTGCATTAATTAAAATATTAAAACTTAGATGCATGTTACTTAAAATTAATGATGAAAGTGTATTCTCTAGTTGGACCCTAGTGCCAGCTAAAGTACACAAGTATCTGATTCACACGGCTCCTTCTTTTAGAGCACCTTCGGCTAGTACGTTACATATGGTCCAACATAGAGTTTGTTATATATTACCTTCTTATTTAGAGCTTTTCGAGATTTATCACCTTTAAAAGTAATATTTTTACAGAAAAATTGTGAGAAGATTAAC